GGAGAGTTGGGGTACAAGGAGGCTTTAGGCCTGTGTGTGTGTGTGTGTGTGTGTGTGTGTGTGTGTCTTCCAGTACTCTTATTTGCATTCTTGGGCTTGTATATCTGGTCACGTGTGCGTTCATGTGTGTGACTTCCATTATTCCTGTTTGCTCCTGTGGGGGTCCTCTGTTCGGTCACACTGCACATTGGTGGATGTGTGTGTGCGTGTGCTCTCGAGAGTGTTCCCACATGCATCTTCATGTGACCACATAGTTTCCCCTCAGATGCCACAGCAGAGAAGGGGTGGGGCTGAGGGTGGTGGCTGCATGGTGTGGGGACAGAGCTGCTCACCAGCCCCAGCTTGTGGCTTCAGCCGAAGAGGGTGTTCCCTGGGCCCCCTCCTGCCGTTGCGTTCATGTGTTAGGAATGCCAAGGCCCTTGGGAAGGACAGAGGCGCCATTGTCCACCCCCAGGCTTCCTGTGCCCCTTCTGCCCTTTAACCCTTTAGGAGCAGGGAGCCCGAGCAGCCTGGTGGGGCCCACCAATGTCTGCTCCATCTCCACACAGCCCAGCACACTTAGGTCTTTGCTCAGTGTCTACTCTGCGTCCTCAGCACTGGATGCAGGAACAAGGGACAAACTTGTGTGTCACGGGCAGCAGCCCAGGAGCCACGTGTGCTGTCCCTGCTGACCTGGCCTAGAGTCCCTGGAGTACCTGGGAGGTGGGAACCTTGTTCCCTGCCCTGTTGGGTGACTGGGGACACTGTCTGCCCTTCGGTGTAGGCATAAAGTCCCTGCTGTGCCTAAATCCTGGCTGGAGAGAAGGCCTCCAAGTCGTGGAGCCTGTGTGTGAAGAAGGGGCTCAGGAGCCTTTGGTTGCAAGAAAAGGGTCACTGTGGTCCCAAATTCTGGACAGCAAGGGAGGCGACCAGGAAACCCAGCTGTCTCCAAGCCTAAACAGAAGAGTTGACTACGTGCATGAGGGGTGTCTTGTGAAGGCCAAGGGGGACCCAGCCAAGGGAGGGGTAGCTTGCCAGGGTCAGGTTCCTGCCCCGTGCTGGGACGTGACATCAGTCACATCCTGCTTCCATGAGGCCTCCAGATTTGCCTGTCATCTGCCTTGCAAATGAGCCCCACACTGGGTCAGGACAGCTTGCAGGCCATCCTTGTCCAGGCCCCTAGTCCGCGGGACACGAGTGGACACACGTTAGGATGCCAGAGAACCTGAGAGGCTACCTGACCCCAGCATCAATTTGGGCAGCTTCAGGAACCTCCATGGCCTCTAGAGCTCCACCCTGGTGAGTGTCAGTGGGACCTGGCACGCAGTTCAGTTCTGGGCCCTAGGTTCCTTGTCTGCGATGAGAGGAGCTGTGCGGAGGGGTCCCCAGTGTGTGATGAGGGCAGCTCCAGGTTAGAAGAAAATGGAGCCGATGAGGAGATGGCAGGGGGGTATAGGGCGGAGCCAGCAGCGAGGACCCTCCCTCCTCCCCATAAAGCCTTGCTGCCAGCTGCCCCCTCCCGTCCTTTACAGGTGAGCTGCAGTTGCCTTGGAGATAGAAGCTTCCAGGGTGGCTGAGGGGTGGGCTGAGGGGTTTGGGGGCCTGAGGTCCTCCTTAGGGAGGGGTCGGGAGGGAGCACAGAGGACTAAGCAGCAGTCTAAGCCTTCTAGGCTCCCAGGTACCTGTAGGAACACCTTTCGGGGTTCTCTCAATAATCCCTCCCTGGGGACACCACCACCTCTGCTGGTGGCACCATCACCATAGAAACACGCCTGCCACTGCCCGGGAGGAGGGCGAGGGGAAGCCTTAAAGGGACACGGAGTATGAGGTGTGGGTGATATCCATGCCCTCCTGTCCACGCCAGCAGGCACAAAGGCACCCACATTGTCCTGGGATTGCCACCCAGTCTTTGACCCTCCCAGATGCCCTGGGCACTGGGACTCCGGTCCTGTCCCCACTTTGACCTCAGGTCACCAGGTGCTGCCATTCCCAATCCACATGGAGACCCTTTGCCCCACACTTTGAAACACTATTTCCTGTGAGAAGGACCCTAGCAGGGCCGGAGCTGGGGGCCCGCGTGCAGGGCACCCTGGGGATTCCCGGGGTGTTCAGATCTAGTGCGCTTCCCGTGACCTCCCAAGTGCCTCCCCTCAACAGGCTTCCAGTCAATAGAGGCTGACATGTGGAGTGGACTCCTCAGGGACCCAGGGCCCTCAAGGCCAGGGTGGGGCTCCTCTCAGGCCTGACTCTCGTCTCCTGGCCTTGTCCCCTCCTAGTGCCAGCCACGCCCTATCTCCTTGCCTGCTGGGGTGGCGCATGACACCTCCATGTGGGGGATGGGGTAAGAGGGGGGGCAGGCGCTCAGGAGCGCCCCACCTTTGTCTCGCACTCTCCTGGCGCAGTGGCTGGTGCACCGAGCCGTGCATGAGCACGCACGCACACGCCCAGACACGCACGCTCACTGGGCGCCTGCGGGTGCGAGCGCACCTCCCCCAGCCGCAAGCTGCAGCCGTGTAGTCTCGTCTGGGAAGGCTCTCCTGAGACCCTGGGGCGCCCCTCCCTCCCCTCCCTCCCCTCCCTCCCCTGCAGGAACCCCCACCTGTTTCCTGGCACGTGCGCCCTGCGGGTCGCCAGGCATTGGGTCATTCATCTTGTCTTACAACTGTCCCCGTGTCCCCAGTGCCACAAGTGGGCAGGGACTTGCCGCTGCCGCTGTGGGGCTTTGTCTCTCCGGCTCTTCGCTCTGTTTGTCTCCCGGCCCTGCTCGTCTGTCCAGCCTGACCTCAGAGCCCAAGAAGCCCCCTCCACTGACCCGGGCTCGTCTTCCCTCTTCCCTCCGCCCTCCCCACAGGCTGCGGAGGCCCATTCGCCCGCGCAGGCGCAGAGGCACGTGCCCGCCCCTCGCTTCTCGCCCTTTCTGCCATTCCTCAGCAGCCTGTCCTGCGGCCGCCTCTCATCCTTTGTATTCCTTCTCCTCTTCACTCGCTTTCCCTGCCGCCTGGCTCTCTGGTTCGGGATTCCTCCTCTCTCCAACAGCTTCCGTCTTGGTTATCCCTTGGCTATGGGGTCTCCCGATGGCTGTCTTTGTCTCCTGCTCCCTCCTGCTCCTTTCTCACTCTGTCTGTCACCTTGGCAGGCAGGGCCCTGGCTCCATCTGCGGAGCATGCGGGCCTCCCCTGCTCGTCTCCCTTGGTGGTGGTGATGGAGGGCTGGGGGCCTGCTGAGCTGACAACCTTAGCTTACTCTGTAATTGCCCGGGGAGTGGTGAGAGATCAGAGACCAAGCAGCAGTGGGAGGGGAAGAGGGGGAGCCCCCCTAGCTGTTGGGGGCCCCTCAGCCTTCTGGCACCTTCCTTCCTGTCTCTGAGTAGCCAGAGCAATGGCAAGTGGGGTGACAAATGCTTGGAGACCAAGAAAAAGATTGGCTGCGAGGCTGTGGGGACCTCAGGGTAGAGGATGCTGGGTTTTCAGGCACCCTCTGGGAACCTAGATTTGGAGGACAAATGGAGGGATCGGCTGGCAGAAATCATCTGTCCAGCAGGCAGAGCATCAAAGCCTGCTCCGAGGCAGGAGGGTCCTTTGAGCTTCCACTTGCTCCAGTTTTCCTCCCCTCCCCCGCCAGACCAGTGCGCAGGGCTCCAAAGGCTGCTTTTTGATCGCCTGCTCTCTGATCTGGGTCTCCTACTGGTTCCTACAGGCCTTGAAGTCAAGGCCAAGGCTGCCGGGGGCTGGCTTTGTTGGGGGAGGTATCGGTAGTACAGACCCACCGTTCTTCACCTGCCAGGCCCTAGCTCCGCATTTCCAAGTTGGGAATCGGCTGTCCATGCTCCACTTCCTACCTTCCCACTCATTCCAGCACTCAGGAGGCTGAGGCAGGAGGATCGACATGAGTTCAAGGCCAGCCTGGGCTACATAGCCACTGCCCTGACTCAAAAAGCAAAAACAAAACAAAAGTGGTCTGCCTTCTTGAGACAGTCTGTGTCCTCTTTTGGTCATTTTCAGAGAACCCTCTGTCCTGGACCCTGCCTTTGGCGCCCATTACATGCAGGTGTATTGTGGCGTGGCTTGCGCTTGGGCTTGGTGTGCACACATCTTCCAGTTGAGCCCCAAAGACTCAGAAAAAGACCCCCAAAACAGACTGCCAGATGCTTGAGAGGTGTCAGAAACACTGTCTTGGGAAGTGTCCAGAGCTTTCCCCAGCCTCTGCCCTGCCCTTGGCCTGGAGCATCCAGAAGTGGGGAGGCCACAGTCCCTTCTAGTGTCCCCAGAGGGCTAAGGCGCACCAGGGAGATGTCTTCTTCTTTCTGGCCCTCTCTCTCCAGTTCTTCAGAGCAGGCATCCTTCCCCTTTACTCTTCCTTTTCCTGAGCCTGGTTTGGGCCTGTGTCCTCCTTCCCTAGCTCACTTCCCAAGGCCCCTGGTGACTTTTGGGTATGAACATCATCCAGGGCTTGGTTGGCGGCCCAAAGAGCCACAGCAATGAGATGGCAAGAGGAGCCCTTTACCGCACGTGTGTGCACACGTGCTTCCCCGGCAGATGCATTCCTGGCATACACAGGCACCAGCCCACAGCTGGCAGACGCACACCATGCATACCCACTCATGAGTGTACCCCTCCCGGGAAGACACACGCATGTGCTCAGGCACACATGTGCGTGTAGCCACATACATCGGGGTGCGTGTATCTGCCATATGCCCCACTTGCAGACCCGTGTCCACACCCATGCCCCTGGACACCTGCTCCCCGGTGTATTGTGACACGCAGATGAGGGGAGTTAGTGAGGGCAACAAGTGGCTGCTGGGGAGGCGGCTGGCGGGGAGGGGATGAAAGGCAACCTGAAGGCTAAGCCAAGTGGGGGGGAGGGGGAGAGAAGGACCGGGAAGGCGGCCAGCCGGGGGCGGGGCCTGGGGCGGGGCCAGAAGCCCGGGCTCGCCCAGATGTTAGTCAGTAACGTCCATCCGTCCCTCTCGTCTCCTTCCCCACCCTTCCCTTTCCTCCTCCTCTCTCCCACTGCTCCCACAGGCGGCTCCCCCCCAATAGCCCCTTTCCCTCAGGCCGGAGCGTGAGCCGAGCCCGGCCGGCTGTGCCGCGCCTAGCCGCCGACGCCACCGAGAAGATGGTCGTGGCGCTGCGGTACGTGTGGCCTCTCCTCCTCTGCAGTCCCTGCCTGCTCATCCAGATCCCCGAGGAATGTGAGTAGCCTCCCTGTGCCGCCCTGCTGGGTCGCTTTATCTTCGGCCTTCTCACCTCCCCACCCCTCCGGACCTTTTCCCCTCCTTTTCTCGGCACCGGGGTGGAAAGGAGGTCCCCAGTGTGTTGGGTGCTCCTGGAGGGAAGGGCGGGGTAAGAGGCATGGGGCGGGTCAGCACCACGGACAGGAATAAGCGCAGCCCGCTGTGGTTTCAGCACCACGGACAGCGTCCAGGGTCCAGGTCTAAGTCCGGGGCCCGGGCAGCTAGCTGTCCCGTGGCCCGACCCAGCCCACTCCCACTGCTCCTCTCCTACACCCCGCAAGTCCCATGGGTGTGGCTGCCGGGAGAAGGGGCAGCCTCCAGTTCTCAGCTAGCTTTGTGCGAAGGACTGCATTCAAGTCGTGCCCTGTTTCTAAATTAGGTAATCCGCAGCTGGTTCTTTCCCGTCTTGGCCCTTGGTAACCCTGCCCCTGAACTGAGACAGGAAAATACACCTCAGAAACACCAGGTCCCCATACAGCAGCTTTCTGCATCCTTTCTTTTTCTCGTGGTGCTGGGGATGGAACCCAGAGCCTCTTACACACTAGGCAAGTGCTGTCCCACTGAGGTGCACCCCCAGCCCACTTTCTGGCTCCGTTTTCATGCATAGTTATTTGGTGGGCATGGGTGTGTCTGTGTTTGTAGGGCTTCTTGGATAGGTCCCAGCTAGGTGTGTGGGTATTATAGAGTGTGGCTGTTGGATAGTGACTACACATGAATGTTTGTGTATGCTTGTAAGTTGCACTGACTCATCCAATGTACTCGTGTGTGTGCAGTATGCGATTGTGACTGATTTCATTTCCCAGAAGTCTGTGAGTCACCATACTTGTCATCAGGCCTGGGAAGGTCTGGAGGTACTTGAATGTCACATTTGATTGCAGTGAGGAAGTGGAATCGAATGTGGGTGCATGTTTGCATGTGGGGGGCATTGTTGCTGTGGTGGAGTTTTCTCCCCAGTATGGGGGGGATTGTAAACACACTGCTGCGGGTGACAGCTGTCCTTTGGGGGGGCACTTAACAAAGTATCATCTGTCAGACATCTGTGTATCTGAAGCTATGAGGCTCCAGTCCTTTTCCACTTCCCTTACCACCTTTGTCTCTGAGCCTGAACATGGAGAAGCCAGGCAGGAGGCAGGGGTGTGGCGTGGGACAGGGCTGCAAGGTGGGCTTGAGTGGCACCTGCAATTGGGGGCAGTGAGGCTTCAGAGGAGGTAAAGAGGGGCTGGTGAGCTAGAGGTTGGGGACAGAGCTTGGGATGCCCCCTTGGCCATGTACACGGAAGTCCGAATGGCCACACCCATGAGGCCACCACTCTCCCTGGCCACAGATACACTGGGACACAAGAGTGTCAGTATGCACAGATGAGCCAGGCGCTGAGGTGGGAAAAGAGCAGGTGTCTGCGAGGCCACACCAGTAGACACCCACACAGATGCTGCGTGCCACACCAAAGTCAGGCAGTACCCAGCCGTGTGCGACACGCTGGGGCACATGTTCCAGGACAGCCACGCCTGCGTGCCCAGACCCCACTCATCCCTCAGGGGCACATGCTGGTCCTCCTTGCCTCTCTGCCTTCTCTGTGTTGCCTTGCAGGCCCTGCCTCCTGGCCTCACCCTGGGCATCCGCCTGCCCTTCCGCCAGATGGGCTGGCTCCTCTTGCTCGGTGTGTCTGGGGCAGGGAGGGTTTGGAGAATGGAGGCAGTGGCAACAAGAACTAGGCCAGAGTCCACAGCAGCTCCAAGGTGGCCCGGACACTGACCGGCACTGTTCATGACCCTGACTTGCCGGTGGCCAGCCGGGTGCCTCCCTGTCAAAACCTTCCTCTGTCTGTTCTGTTCCAACCGCACAACCCCCTTCACCTCTCCGGCTCGCTCCTCCATCCTGTTGTCCCTGTCGCTGTCTCGCTCTCAGGCTGGGGCCCTTACCCTGAGGTCTTCTGCAGGGACAAAGCTGTCAGGGCCCACCTGCTGCTGCCCCGCTGCCAGCCCTCCTTGCCCTCCTAGCTCTCAGAGTCCTGGGTCTGGGGCACTTGCTGGGCCTCTGCTGCAGAGAGCTGCAAGCTGCCTGGGAGGCAGGAAGGGGAAGGGAGGACTGGCGCCCTCGGAGACCCAGATGCGGCTGTGCCTTTGGGAGGGCTTGGAGGGGGAGGGGCGCTGGCTCCAGGCTGGGTGGGTAATTGAAAACACTGAGCAGCGCTAATTGGATTAGGAGGGAAGAGGGCGGGGCAGGGAGGGTGTCTGGGGACCCAGGGTGGGGTCAGGCCTGCAGGCCCCACAGGCCTGGCCGTGGCGCTGTGCAGACGCAGCTTGTTCAAGGCAACTGTTTCCCTCTCCCCGGGCACCGCAAGCCTTGGATGTGCTCTCAGGCCTTGTCCTGCCTCCCCGGGCCGCAGCAGCACCACTGTGCCCTCTCCTGACCTGTCCCTGTCCCCATCCCTGTCCCCATCCCTTACCTGCGTGGGCTGCCGTGCCTCTCAGCGCCTCTCTCCTTCTTTCCCCTGCTGTCCAGATTTCTCAGATGAAGGGCACCATGGTAAGTTGGGCACACGTGGGACTGTGTCTTGGGAGGCTGTGGGCAGGGCCCAGCCGATGGCCCCATGGGGCACATGCTGTGCGGTCTGGTGGCGGGCTCCTGGCTCAGGCCCCATCCCCGCACACCTGCGCTGGCCCTCTCTGTTGCTGTTCTGCTGCCCTCCACCATGGGCCTGTCTTTGTCCTTGTGCCCTTTGCTGCTGTTCTCTCTTTAGTTTTGTTCTGTCCTCACCCCAGATGTCTTTCTTTGTAACTTTTGTTGTTGTCCTCTGTCTCTCTCCCTCTTTCTACATTTGTTTGTGTATCTTTTTATTATTATTATTATTATTATTTTTTGAGACAGGGTCTCACTATGTAAACTAGGCTGGCCTCAAACTCATGGTGATCCTCCTGCCTCAGCCTTCCGAGTGCTAGGGTGATAGGCGTGTGCCACCACACCCAGCTTCTGTGTCCCTTTTTCTCTCCCTCTTTTCACATCCTATAAGCTTCTACTTGGTTCTTCCTGTCCTGCCCCCGTGCCATGGGGCCCCTCAGGGCTGTAGACCCCAACTCCTTCACGTGGGCCCAGGGGTTGAGGTCATGGTGCATCCAGGCAGCACTTTCACCACCACCCTCACCCTGTCCCCAGTGATGGAGCCCCCTGTCATCACAGAGCAGTCTCCGCGCCGCCTGGTTGTCTTCCCCACAGATGACATCAGCCTCAAGTGTGAGGCCAGAGGAAAACCGGAAGTACAGTGAGTGACCCTATTGTCCCTTGGAGCCTCTGTCTTTGATCCCCAGGCTTGGCCCAACTCTGGCACAGAGGCCCCAGACTTCCCTGGTGGCCTTGAGTCCTTGCCCGCTCCTGCCTGTCCCCGAACTCCCGGCTACAGCCCCGCTCACCTCCTCCCTGCCCCAGCCCCAGCCCCAGCCCCAGCCCCAGCCCCAGCCCCTTCCCGGCACCAGGGCTGCTGGCTTCTGAGCCCGTTCCACCCACAGGTTCCGCTGGATGAAGGATGGCGTCCACTTCAGACCCAGCGAGGAACTGGGTGTGATGGTGCATGAGGCGCCCCACTCCGGCTCCTTCACCATCACGGGCAACAACAGCTTTGCCCAGAGGTTCCAGGGCATCTATCGCTGCTTCGCCAGCAATAAGCTGGGCACCGCCATGTCCCACGAGATCCAGCTTATGGCTGAGGGTGCGAGGCCTTGCAGGGACTTGGGAGGGCCCAGGGCACCTCGGAGGAGCGCTGTGTGGCCTGCCAAGGCCAGGGCACCCTGGCAGCTCTCAGCCCACACCAGCCGCCCTCACAGCCCTTTCTCTTTTCTCCTGAAGTCTCCGCCGTCCTTGCCCTGCCTCTCTCTCCCCAGTGAGCTTGAGGTCCCCTCCGTGCCCTTCTCCCTGTCTCTCTCGTGCCTGCCTCCCGGTGGCTGCTGCTGGGCTGCATAGGTGGACCTGGCCTCCTGGCTGCCTTGGCCTGCACCCGGCCAGCCCCGTATACGAGACTCTCCCGCTTGGGCTCATGTTCTGGTCCCCACTCATTTTCCCACCTCCGACATCCAGCTTTCCTGCCTCACTCTGTGCTGCTTCCTCCTCGCTCACTCTCCAAAGCTCCTTTCCACCTCTGCTTTGGCTTCTCCATCTCCTTCCTGCTATCTTTATCTGTGTCGCCCTTTCCCTGGGGTTTTCCCTGGCATTCCATCCTCCCTGAGCTTTCTGCCTCCAGAGCGCCCTCCTCTCCCCTCCCCGCCCCTCTAGTTACCTTGGGAACTGTTGCCATGGTTTCTGTGTCAGGATGATGGAAGGGTCTGTGACTCCCGCATCCTTCCACAGCTCTCCTCCCCCACTGCCGCACCTCGCCCCTCCAGCCCCATCCTTTCCCCGGGTGGGCAGGGAGAGCTGAGAATTGTGCAGGTTATCCTTTAATGCCACCTGGCCTCCTGCTCACCCTGATTCACCCTCGGGGGAATGCCAGTCTCCAAGGAGCCCGAAGAGGACCCACGCCTCTCTCTCCTGTTATGATGCCCACCCTCCCAGCCTGGCCCCTCACCCATTGTCCATGCCCAGCCTGTCCATCCCTCTAGGTGCCCCCAAGTGGCCCAAGGAGATGGTGAAGCCGGTGGAGGTGGAGGAGAGGGAGTCGGTGGTGCTGCCCTGCAACCCCCCGCCCAGCGCGGAGCCGCTGCGCATCTACTGGATGAACAGCAGTGGGTGGTGGTGGGGCTGCCTGCCGGGCTGGGTGGGTGGGGTCCCGGATGGGGTCCTGTGCAGAGTCCTGACCCCTGCCCCGGGCTCCTATGTAGAGATCCTGCACATCAAGCAGGACGAGCGGGTGTCAATGGGCCAGAACGGCAACCTCTACTTCGCCAACGTGCTCATCTCGGACAGTCACTCGGACTACATCTGCAACGCCCACTTCCCAGGCACCCGGACTATCATTCAGAAGGAGCCCATTGACCTGCGGGTCAAGGCCAGTGAGTCCCACAGGCTGTGACCCCCTCCCCCCTCCCTTTCCCTGGCCCCTCCCCCGTAGGTGGCTCAGCCACCCTGATCTTCCTCAAGGACAGTTCGGCGCCATCTCCACCCTGTCTGACCCCTTCCTGGGCGGTGAGAGAACACGCAGGGCACAGAGGAGAACGCAGGGGCCCAGGGGCTCTCTGGGGTGTCTGGTGTCCCCAGCCTTGCGACCCCTGGCACCCACTCCTTTGTCCTGGCAGCCAACAGCATGATTGACAGGAAGCCGCGCCTGCTCTTCCCCACCAACTCCAGCAGCCACCTGGTGGCCTTGCAGGGACAACCACTGGTCCTAGAGTGCATCGCAGAGGGCTTGTAAGCCGGAGCACTGGGTGTGTGGGAGGGCGGAGCCCGGGCCGCAGGGTCTCTGGCCTCCCTCCTGGCTGAGTGGTCTCCTCTCTCCCTTCCTCCCTGCCTGTGCCATGGCCTCGGGCAGCCCCACGCCCACCATCAAGTGGCTGCTTCCCAGTGGCCCCATGCCGGCTGACCGCGTCACGTACCAGAACCACAACAAGACCCTGCAGCTGCTGAACGTGGGCGAGCAGGACGACGGCGAGTACCACTGTCTGGCTGAGAATTCACTGGGCACTGCCCGGCACGTTTACTATGTCACTGTGGAGGGTACGGGCTTCCATCAGGCACACCCTCTTCCAGAATGGCGTTGGGGATCACAGCATCCACCGTCATGGGGAGGGCAGGGTCTGCCTGGGGACAAGCACGAGTACAGGCTCAGGGTGGTCCTCTTGTCCTCCCCAGCTGCCCCGTACTGGCTGCACAAGCCCCAGAGCCATCTATATGGGCCGGGAGAGACGGCACGCCTGGACTGCCAGGCCCAGGGCCGGCCCCAGCCTGAGGTCACCTGGAGGATCAACGGCAACCGCATGGAGGGTGAGTGGGCAGCCCTGGGGACCGTGAGGGAGGAAGAGGACGGGGTGGTGGGCACAGTATAGCTTAGTGCTCTAGCCCGGGCCCGTGGACCACCTGTCACACACACAGAGCTGGACAAGGACCAGAAGTACCAGACCCACAGGGGTGCCCTCATCCTGAGCAACGTGCAGCCCAGTGACACCATGGTGACCCAGTGCGAGGCCCGCAACCGGCACGGGATCCTGCTGGCCAACGCCTACATCTATGTTGTCCGTAGGTTCAATGCCCAGAACTGTCAACGAGATCAGTGAGAGACTCAGGCCAGCCTCCTGGGGTGACCCGCCCCACACTCCTGGAGCCGTGGCTAGGATGGGGCAGGGGTGCGTGGCTAGGCGGGCCACGCACGGTTGGGAAGCCTGGGGTGGCAGAGGGCAGGGGTGTCTGAAGGCAGAGGCCCCTGGGAGCGCTGAAGCTAGGTGTGGCCCTGAGTGCTGCCCCGTCCTGAGACTCCTCCCCCACCAGAGCTGCCTGCCAAGATCCTGACGGGTGACAACCAGACGTACATGGCGGTTGAGGGCAGCACAGCCTACCTGCTGTGCAAAGCCTTTGGAGCGCCCGTCCCCAGTGTGCAGTGGTGAGCCCTCTGTTGTGCCCATGCCCGGGGACAAGAGGATAGGGCCCTGGGCCGGGACGTGTGAGTTGGGCCTTCGTTCTCACTCCAGGCTGGACGAGGAGGGGACGACGGTGCTTCAGGACGAGCGTTTCTTCCCCTATGCCAATGGGACCTTGGCCATCCGCGATCTCCAGGCCAACGACACTGGGCGCTACTTTTGCCAGGCTGCTAATGACCAGAGCAATGTGACGATTGTGGCAAACCTGCAGGTTAAAGGTCAGCCGCTGCCCCACAGGACTGGCAGCACCTTTGGGGAGGGAGGACCAGGGACTCTGGAGGCCATCAGGGTGACCTTCCCTCTCCTTCCTCGCCCTCAGAAGCAACCCAGCTCACGCAGGGGCCCCGGAATGCCATCGAGAAGAAAGGCTCGCGGGTGACATTCACATGCCAGGCCTCCTTTGACCCCTCCTTGCATCCCAGCATCACCTGGCGTGGGGATGGGCAAGACCTCAAGGAACGTGGGGACAGCGACAAGTGAGGCCCTGCCCCGGGCTGGGCTGCGGGAAAGGGGCCGAATGAGAAGGGCTGGAGGCCGGCCTCCTGGTCTTGTCCGTGGAGTGGGGGACAGGTGGCAGCTGCAGGACAGGTGTGGCCTCTTCTTAGGTACTTCATAGAGGACGGGCGCCTGGTCATCGACAGCCTGGACTACAGTGACCAGGGCAACTATAGCTGCGTGGCCAGAACCGAGCTGGATGAGGTGGAGGGCAGGGCCCAGCTCTTGGTGGTGGGTGAGTCCCAGGACGGCATGGGGCATGCAGCCGGAGCACAGGGGCCCCAGGCTCCGAGGGCCCGGCTGGTCCCACTGGGGGGGTGTGGCTCACAGGGGGCCCGAGAACCCACCCTCTGTGGCCCACAGGGAGCCCTGGGCCGGTGCCTCATGTGGAGGTGTCCGAGCGCCACCTGCTGAAGCACAGCCAGGTGCACCTGTCGTGGAGCCCTGCCGAGGACCACAATGCCGCCATTGAGAGTGAGAGGCCTGAGCGCCGGGCCACCCTCCCCATCCTCCCTTCTGCCGGGGCCCCCCCAGCCCCGGCCCCCACTCCTGGTGGGTGGTGGCTCACAGTCCCTCTGGGAGTTCCTGGGGCTTGGGCCCTTGGGAGAGCCAACCCTGGACCCAACCCCAGTGCCCCCCCTGCTGAGCCACACCTCATTAATCCATTGCCCTGTCACTTCCTGACAGAGTATGACATTGAATTTGAAGACAAGGAAATGGCACCTGGGAAATGGCACAGCTTGGGCAAGGTGCCAGGGAACCAGACCTCCACCACCCTGAAGCTGTCACCCTATGTCCGCTACACCTTTCGGGTGACTGCCATCAACAAGTACGGCCCTGGGGAGCCCAGCCCGCCCTCTGAGACTGTGGTCACGCCCGAGGCAGGTGAGCCGGGGCCACCCTGAGGGGGTGCCTGGCACCGGGCCCCGGGCACTGCACAGAGACCTGGAGGAGGGCCGTGCCTTCGCCACCCAAGGTCCCAGGGACAGCCGGCCACCTCTGCTCCCTCGGGGCCACTGTGCCTTGGGCAGGAAAGCCCCGCAGTGACGCGTGCTCGCTCATGTCGCCTGCAGCCCCAGAGAAGAACCCTGCAGATGTGAGAGGTGAAGGCAATGAGACCAATAACATGGTCATCACATGGAAGGTGGGTCCTGGGCAACTCGCCTTGCACATGGGCCAGGATGGGTGAGGGTGGCTGTCGTGAGCACTCTGGGCAAGCTGTCCCTTTCCTGCTGTCCCCTGCAGCCACTGCGGTGGATGGACTGGAACGCCCCCCAGGTCCAGTACCGCGTGCAGTGGCGCCCGCAGGGCACACGGGGGCCCTGGCAGGAGCAGACCGTGAGCGACTCCTTCCTGGTGGTGACCAACACATCCACTTTCGAGCCCTATGAGATCAAGGTTCAGGCCGTCAACAGCCAGGGCAAGGGCCCCGAGCCCCAGGTCGCCATCGGCTACTCTGGGGAGGACTGTGAGTATCGGGTGCCAAATAAGGACGTGAGTCACATGGCCGGAGTGACCCTGGGCTCTTTACACTGATGCAATGCACTCAGCTAGCTGGCAGCTGGATTCCCAAGGTTACCAGCAACCCTGTCTCCTGCATTTCCTCTGCTGGCCCAGGGGGCTAGGACAGGCAGAGCACGGCTCCCCTGAAAACCCCAAGCCCAAAACGCGCCAAACTCCGAAACTCCTCAAGTGCCACCCTGGTGCCCTAAGTGGAAAATTCCATGCCCCTGACCTTACCTGGTGGGTCATAGTCAAAACACAGGTTCGCTAGAAATTCAGTAATACGAAATTACCTTCCGACTCCATGGGTGTGGTGCATATGCAGCAGAAATAGGAGCTGGCAGTGTAGCTCAGTGGTGAGCACTGGCTGACCACTGGTGAGGCCCCGGGCTCTAGCAACAGCAAAACATAAAAAAAGACAAATTTAAAGCAGTCAGGTATAGTGGCGCACGCCTGTCATCCCAGCACTCAGGAGGCTGAGGCAGGAGGATCACTGCCAGTTCAAGGTCAGCCTGGTTACACAGTGAGTTCAAGGTGGGGTTGGACTACGCAGCAAGACCCTGTCTCAAAATATAACGAGAACAAAAAAAGAATTGGAATCCATCCTCAAGAAATCTCATTAAATCTTTGCAAATAACCCTAACCTTAGAAGACTCCAAACTCCAGGTTCTTTCTGGTCCTGGCAGTGCAGAGAGGGCTGCTCACCCGCACAGCTGGCTTGTGGATGCAGCACGTTACAGGCGGTCACTCTGAGCAACGGTCGAGGTGTCTTCTGGCCTCTCCGCCCAGTGACTGTCTCCTGTTCAAGCCTGCACCGCAGCCCCTCCTCACCAAACCGTGCCCACCTCACCCTCGCCAAAGGGCTCCTGGCTGGCCCAGGCCGGGTAGGGGGTGGGCCTCTCCAAGTCCCGCTGTTTACAGACCCCCAGGCGAGCCCGGAGCTGGAAAAGGTCACGGCCCTCAACTCCACCGCCTCGCTGGTCAGATGGAAGCCTGTGGCCTTGGCCCAGGTCAAGGGCCACCTCCGGGGATACAACGTAAGGGCTCCAGGTGTGGGGCTGAGGCAGGCCTCTGCTACCTGCCACGGCTCTCCCGGAGGGCCTTGTCTTGGTGGGGAGCATGCACACGGTGGCTCCTGGGACACCCCCAGCTCCTACAAAAGCACGTCCACTGTGCAGGTGACGTACCGGTGGGAGGACAGCCAGAGGCTACACAGCAAGAAGCATGTGCACAGGGGCCATGTAGTGGTACCTGCCAACATCACCAGTGTCACCCTTGGTGGCCTGTGGCCCTACAGCTCCTACCGCGTGGAGGTGCGGGCCTTCAATGGGCGCGGCTCAGGGCCGGCCAGTGAACAGCCCTTCGAGACTCCCGAGGGAGGTGAGTCTGCAGGCTGCGCCTCCCCCCTCGCCCATTGCTCTGGGTGTGGGAGACGCTCTGCCACTCTGCTCTGCCCACAGTGCCCGGCCACCCTGAGGCACTGCACCTGGAGTGCCAGTCCGCTACCAGCCTGCGGCTGCACTGGCAGCCACCGCTCAGCCACAACGGTGTGCTCACCGGCTACATGCTGTCCTACCACCCACGTACGTGCAGGTTGGGGCGGGCTGGGCTCATGGGGGGCCACAGGCAGCCGGAGGGGCCGAGCTGGCAGCTGAGCCAGGCTTGCTGTCTCTGCAGTGGATGCTGGCGGCGAGCAGCAACTGTCCCTCCCCCTCCCCGACCCGGAGATGCGGACACACAACCTGACCAACCTCAGCCCTGACCTGCGCTACCGCTTCCAGCTGCAGGCCACCACGAGGAAGGGCCCTGGCGAGGCCATTGTGCGGGAAGGGGGCACCATGAACCTGTCTGGTGAGCTGCGGGGCTGCGGGGGCTGGGCCTCGGCTGGCGCGGGGGCTTTGGAGGCCCAGGCCAGCAGCTGAGCTTTCAGGAGACCCGATTTTGACTCCTCAGGGAAACCGGACTTTGGCAACATCTCAGCCATGGCGGGCGAAAACTATAGCGTGGTCTCCTGGGTCCCCAAGGAGGGCCAGTGCAACTTTGGCTTCCACATCTTGTTCAAGCCCCTGGGAGGTGAGGCCGGGGGTCCCTGGGATGGTGGGGTTGTGAGCTAGGGGCCTGGCGCCCCCGGGCCGCCTCCCGCACATCCCCTGTCACCGCCTTGTGCAGAAGGGAAGATGGGCAGTGACCTGCGGCCAGAGTACGTCAGCTACAACCAGAGCTCCTACACGCAGTGGAACCTGCAGCCTGACACCTACTATGAGATCCGCCTGCTGAAGGAGCACACGCTGCTGGGCCAGACCAACGTGAAGACCAACGGCACTGGTGAGGCTGTGCCCCCTCTGCCCTCCCCCACCTCCGGGCCTGGGGAGGGCGAGCAGGAGGCTCACTGCAGGTGGCCCTGTCCCTTCCCTGCGCCCCCTCTGCCCAGGCCGTGTGCGCCTCCCCCCCGCCGGCTTCGCCACCGAGGGCTGGTTCATTGGCTTCGTGTGTGCCATCATCCTCCTGCTGCTGGTGCTGCTCATCCTCTGCTTCATCAAGCGCAGCAAAGGTGGCAAGTACTCAGGTACCGGGGACCCAGCCACGGCCTGGTGGGCTCACCGGGCCCCTGCGTCGTCCCTGGGCTTCTGCTGGGATGGCGTGGGCGGGGCGGGGCGGGCCAGAGGCCGGGCTGGGCAGTGGCTGGGTCCCCTGGGGGCAAGTGGCCCCCCGAGGCTCTGTGCCTGCTCAGAGCCTGGGGACCTGGAGCCCAGCATGAGGCAGGGTGAGAGAGGAAGCCAGGCTCTCTCTGTGTCTCCAGTGAAGGACAAGGAGGACACCCAGGTGGACTCCGAGGCGCGGCCGATGAAGGATGAGACCTTTGGCGAGTACAGGTGAGTGGGCTGGCGCAGGTGCTGGCAGCAGCTGGCCCATGGCCTCGGCCTGAACCCTCTCTCTCTCCTTCATGCTGCCGGCTGACCCCAGGTCCCTGGAGAGGTAAGGCAGGCAAGGTGGCCCCGTGGACAGTGCATGCTGGGGAGGGCCAGCCCCCAGCCTAGCAGCTCCCCCTCGGCCAGAGCGTCTCGCGCCTGTTCCTCCCTGTGCCAATGGCTGCCTCCGCCCCTGGCTGCCGGGAGAGCCTGTTTGGCCCCTGGCGCCTTGAACGCGTCCTCTCAAGGGTGTTGGGAGAAGCACCTTGGCCAGGTCCCCATCCATACCCTCTGCATCCCTGCAGTGACAACGAGGAGAAGGCCTTTGGCAGCAGCCAGCCGTCTCTCAACGGGGACATCAAACCCCTGGGCAGTGATGACAGCCTGGCTGACTATGGAGGCAGCGTGGACGTCCAGTTCAACGAGGACGGCTCCTTCATCGGCCAGTACAGCGGCAAGAAGGAGAAGGAGGCGGCAGGGGGCAACGACAGCTCTGGGGCCACTTCCCCCATCAACCCCGCGGTGGCCCTCGAGTAGTGCGGTGCAGCCAGTGAGGAGGACAGGAGTTCACTGCCCCTACTCCCCTCTTACTACCCGGTCCCCACTCTATTGCCAAAACCCAGCTGCACCCCTTCCTGGGCACACGCTACTTTGCCCCGGCTGGGGGGGCAGATCACCCACAAGCCAGGGACCTCCGGGTGCTGCCTTGCCAGGGGAGGCGTGGTGGGGTCTCCTCAGAACCGGGGCTTGTACCTCCTCCTTTCCCAGCCACTCCCTGGCCAGACTGGCTGGGGGCGGGACTCCGTGTCCCCACCATCTGCTCCATTTTCTTTGCCATCTCTGCTCTGACTGGAACGGGAGCCGGGCAGGCTGGCCCCAGGTACAGGGACGGCCATCTGGAGAGGCCTGAGTTCTTGTCCCCAATAGCACACTGGGGCCGTGGCCGGCTTCCAGGAGCTCCACACACGCGCTGCCTTTGTACCCACCAGACAACATCCAAGTGGCCTCTGTCACTGCCGGGGGCGGGCACCTCCTCCCACTGCCCCCCGCCAGCTTCCTGAAGCTGCCACCCCGCCCCGGACTCTCAGCAGCCCTGCCCAGTCCAGTTCCTGTCCCCGGCCCCCAGGAATGTAAATACACCGTGATTTTGAGAGTTTGTACCCTCGCCCTTTCCCCAAATGCCACTAGTGTGTAGGCAGATGTCTGAGTCTCTAGGTGGTTTCTAGGTTTTATAGCGATTAGCTTTGATGATCCCATCCCAGGAAACATAAAAACATGTGCAAAAAGACAAAAAAAAAGGGGGAAATTGGTTCTTGCAGCACTGCTGTGCCCGCCCAGCAGCTCCAGCTCCAGTGCACCTCTGCTTGGCCTGCCGACGAGCCATCTACGTACGAAAACAAAAGTATATATATATGTACATAAATATCAGAATTATAACAGGCAAATAAAAACCTGGAAATGAGGAGCGCCTCTTGTCATCTGACAACGTTCTTCCAGGCCCCCGGGTCCCTGGCCATAGGCAGGGCACCCCGAGACCTCCTGTCCCCCAGCCTTACCAGTCTGCCCTGCTGAGAACCAAAAGCCCCTTGAACTTTTTTTAACTGTGAGACTAGTTCTAAGTTGCCCAGGAGAAAAAAAAAAAGACTATGACGTTGGGTTGGGCACCATTACTAAACTGGCCACATTGGTCACAGGTTCCCCAGTGACTCTCCCTGTGCCACACACGCCTCCAACGGCCTGCCCCACCGAGACTGAGCTAGCGGGCAGGGCTTGAGACCGAGGACGGAACCCAGTGCCGTGAGGCTTCAGGAAGTTCGAGATTGGAGCTTTGAGCTTGGAAGGCTGGGTTGTGACACCGGGCCCTGGGCAGAACGTGCTGGCTCCAAGGGTTTCTGGTACTGGTGACTGAACCCGGGATCACTGCACCAAGCTATACCTTCAGCCCCTTTTTAATTTTTATTTTGAAACAAGGTCTCGGTAAGTTGCTAAATTGATAGGGCTGGGCTTGAATTTGTGATCCTCCTGCCTTAGACCTCTAGAGTGCTGGCATTATAGGTCTGTACCACTACGCTCAGCTTTTATTTATTTATTTATTTATTTATGTTTTGTCTGTTTTTGAGACAGGGTCTCGCTCTGCACTTCAGGCTGGCCTTGAACTCACTTTGTAGCCCAGGCTGGTCTCGAACTCACAGTGATCCTCCTGCCTCAGCCTCCCAAGTGCTGGGATTACAGGCGTGCGCCACCATGCCTGGTTCAGCTTTTATTTTTTGAGACAAAGTCTCCCTGTGTCGCTACCTTGCCTAGTTGTCTCAGCCACGCTCATGCCGGGATTACAGGTGTGTGCCATCAAAGCCGCTCACTGTTTTTTTCTTTTTGACTTGGCAGGGCCAACTGTATGCCATCATGGTCTTGCTCTGATATGTTTTTTCCTGTCTGGTATGGCCTGGATCCTAGTCACTTTGATTGTCTAAATGTTCCTCACGACACAGCACTAGTCCACTATATTGATGACTGTCTTTTTTTGTTTTGTTTTGTTTTGGTACCGGGAATCGAACTTAGGACCTTGCACTTGCCAGGCAGGTGTTTATGCCACTGAGCTATATCCCTGGCCCTTGTTGACTGTCTTAGTCACTTACTTCATCACTGAGACACAATACCTGACACCAGCAATTTAAAGGAGAAAACGATTATCTAGCTCACAGTGTGTAGAGGTTGCAGCCCATAGTCGGCTGGCTCCAAGGCAGACTGGTGTGGTGGGGGCATCGCAGAGCAGGGAGAAGGGAGCAGCTGACAAGCAGCAAAAGCAGCATGGGACAGAAACAGCTCTCTTTCTGTCCCTTATATTCCATCCTTAGGCCAGGTAGCACTCACACCCAGGATGGGGCAGCCTTAATCCCAGCATCATACCCTAGAACCAGACACCTCCGAAAAGCGCCACCCTTGACGACATGAGGCTTTGAGGGTACATTTAGATACATGCCATAATGAAGGTCTTTATCTCAATCTGGTAAAACCTATCTATGACAAACCAGCAGCCAGCGTCAGACTAAATGGTCAGAAACAGCTTTCACTCAAATCAGGAACGAGACAGGGGCCAGGCATGGTGGCGCACGCCTGTAATCCTAGCACTCGGGAGGCTGACCCAGGAGGATCGTTGCGAGTTTGAGACCAGCCTGGGCTACAAAGTGAGCTCAAGACCAGCCTGAACTGCAGAGTGAGACCCTGTCTCAAAAAGACAAAAAACAAAACAAAACAAGCAAACAAAAAAAAAGGAACAAGACAAAGACGCTCACTATCACCACTCAATATAGTTCTGGAAACATGAGTCAGAGTGATTGGAACAAGAGAAAGAAATAAAAGGAACATGGACAGGAGCTGGGAGCGGTGGCGCACGCCTGTAATCCCAGCACTCGGGAGGCTGAGGCAGGAGGGTCGTTGTGAGTTCGAGGCCAGCCTGGACTACAAAGTGAGCTCAAGGCCAGCCTGAACTGCAGAGCGAGACCCTGCCTCAAAAAGACAAAAAAAAAAAAAAAAAAAAAAAAAAAAAAGTAGGCAAACCTTGAGCATCAGTTCTGTGGCAAACCCAGGCTGGGTTTCCGAGGCTTGCAGTGGGGGCTTACCGGGCTGTGGGCACAGCTCAGTGGCAGAGCTCATGCTCGGCCCCGGTTCCATCTGCGGCACCAAACATAAGTGAAGAAATCACGCAACTGGGCCTCGAGATCTGGTGGCTGTAAGGCCTCAAGGTACGTGGGAGATGGGAATACCCTGCGGAGCCCTGGCGGGCGCAGGTCTCAAGGGTTCAGGAGAAAAGTGTGCCTTCTTCTCTTTCCTATTCCCTGCCCTATTTCATTTATTTTTCATTTGGAGACAGAGCTTGCTGTGTAGCCCAGCTGGCCCTGAACTCCTGATCCTCCTGCCTCAGCCACGTGAGTGGCCGGGATGACAGGTGTGCACCAGCACGCCCAGCCAGCATTCTTCTGAGTAACACTTGACCATCACTGGGCTCGGTGCGGAAAGAATGAACTCAGGCTGACCAGTGCCATGCCCTGAGAGCCCACCCAGCATGCCCAGGCTCAGAGCAGGGCTGTGTCCCTTCCATGGTGTGCCGGGGCGCTCAGGGCTCGCTGCAGCCTGGTGTGGAGACAGTCACCGTCGGGGCAGAGGTCCTTGGCCGTCCCCAGGCAGAGCTACTGTCCCTTCCACTGGGACTGGTGGATGCCCCAGCACACAGGAATGTGTCACTTCCTGCGAATCAGCTGCTGATTTGGCCAACCACAGACTTGGGAAGAACAGGCTTGGCAGTTTGGTGACAAGAGCTTTGCCCATCAGGAGGGCGTGAACTTCAGAGGGGTGAGGTGGCCACGGCGATGAGCATGGAGCCCCTCGTACGCTCAGCAGCCTGTGCCTCCCCCAAGCCATGCAGCTGAGCCTGGCGCGGTGGTGCACACCTGTCATCCCGGTGTCAGCCGGGCTCGGTGTGCAGCTGACTTCCTGCTCTGGGCCCTTTCTGAGCTACTGGACTCTTCCTTCTGTTCTCCAGGCCTTGAAGCTGACCGTGGCTTCCCACACTTGTTACCCCTGGCCCTGAACTTGCGACCCTCCCGCCTTAGCCTCCTGCTATGGGCTTTCTAGTCCTAGGGGCGCCCAGTGCTCATCCTCCCACTACTACTACAAAAGCTCGGCATTTGTCATGGTTGGTCTGTTGAAGGCTTTGTGTGGTTCGTGTTTTCCTGCATGGACCCTGACTTATAATGCCTTGGGACAGAAAAATGGGCAAATGAAACGAACAGGGAGTTTACAGATTAAAAATTCAAAATGCTAAGCAGCATGAAAACAAAGTGCTGCTGGGCATGGTGGTGCACGCCCATCATCCCAGCACTTGGGAGGCCAAGGCAGGAGGATCGCCATTGAGTTCAAGGCCAGCCTGGACTACGTAGCAAGATCCCATCTCAAAACAATCTAAATAGAGCTGGGCATGGTGATGCATGCCTGTAATCCCAGCACTCAGGAGGCTGAGGCAGGAGGATTACTGCAAGTTCGAGACCAGCCTGGGCTACAAAGTGAGCTCAAGCCCAGCCTGAACTACACAGCGAGACCCTGTCTCAAAAAGACAGAAAAAAAAAGAAAAAAAAAACCTAAATAAATCAATGGCCTGAGGATGTAGTACAGTGGTAAAGCATCTCCAGATTCACTCCCCAATACCACAAAAATCCTTGTAATTATGCTCTTGAGTACATATCACGAGGAAATTCTTACACACGGGTGCAGTCATGTGCACCTGTCGTCCCAGCTACTCAGGAGGCTGAGGCAGGAGGATCACTTGAGCCCAGGAGTTTGAGGCCTGGGCAGCATAAAGAGACTCCATCTTAAGAAAGAGAAAAGAGGGCTGGGGATGTAGCTCAGTGGCTTGGCGTCTGCCTGGCAAGCACAAGGCCCTGAGTTCAATTTCCGGTACCACAAATGAAAATAGAAAAAAAAAAAAAGAAAAAAGAAAGAAAGAGAAAAGAAAAAGGAAATTCTTCCCAAGGAGTGAGTTGGCTCATGTGGCTGGGAATTGGAGGCAATCTAGACACATTTTTGAGGAAGCAGACAAAAGCTCGGGGACTGCTGGGTAGGGTTGTAAACAAGAGCCATGGAGACCCGGCACTGTGAGCAGAGCCTAAGAAGACGACACCGGTGACATCTGTGTCGCATCACCTGAACCCTGGCGCCCACTGAGAACAACTAGATGAGCTCAGCAAAATAAGGAGAGTACTGGCTCGCAATTATCCCAGTGATAACATGCAAGGAAGCATTACGGGAGCAAGACTGGGAGAAAGAAGACAGGTTCTAGGAGACAAGCTTGGCATTTGTCATGGTTGGTCTGGATCTATTTTTTTTTTTTTTTTTTTTTTTTTTTTTTTTTTTTTTGTCTTTTTGAGACAGGGTCTCGCTATGCAGTACAGGCTGGCCTTGAGCTCACTTTGTAGCCCAGGCTGGCCTTGAACTTACAATGATCCTCCTGTCTCAGCCTCCCTAGTGCTGGGATTACAGGCGTGCGCCACCACTCCTGGCCAGTTGGTCTGGATCTAAAATGTCCCCAAAGTCTCCTGTGTCAACAGATGGGGCTTTGGAAGGTGACTGGATCACAGGGTGCTATAGTCACCAGCGGATTCACCCATGGATGGGTTCGTGGCTGACGTGCCGTCAGCAGGGGGCCTGGGTGGAGGAGGAGGGTCAGTGGGCTGACCTCGAAGGGTGTGTTCCTCTCCCCAGCGGCTCTCTGCCCTCTCTGCTTCCTGGCTGCCATGGGTGAGCGGCTCTCCCCCGCTCGGCCCTTTCTGCCACGCTGCTCCTGCTTTGGAGCGGCCAACCACAGACTGAGCCCTCTGAAGCCGGGAGCCAAACAATCCCTCCTCCTTTAAAATGTGCTGGTGGGGATTTTGTCCCGGCACCAGGAAGGCTGACAACGCACATTCAAGGC